GAGTAGCAAGAGCTAAATTGATATTTAAAAACAGTCTAAAATCTCTGATTATTAAACTCTCAGACTCCTTTTTCTCTGTTACTATCAATGGTGAAGGAATGCTAAAGATCTATCAGAAACTGTACTCCAGGCCTGGTACTCTATCCACTTTGTCACCTACATGCCCTTTGCCGTGGTAGAAGCCTTCAACTTAGGGAAAAAAAATTGGCAGAAACTTTGTAGTAAAATCCCCTAAAATTATTGTCAAACAACATAAGGTTCACTTAAAAACACAATGACCACCTTGAGGTCATTAGAGTACAATTTGAGAAACTGATTATATCATATTAGGCTACATTTTTAAATTTTTCATGGCTACCTTATGTGATTGTTAAAATCAAGGTTATTTTATTTTTAAAAGCACATGAATTAAGTTCTATGGAATTTCGGAACAGAACAAAGTAAAACTTTGTATTTGCAAGACACTTTTGCCCATTAGCATTATCCATTATATAATCTATAATCTATCATCTCTATACCTTGATAGATCTGTGATCTAGTCTATGTGAGTACTTCCACGAATGGTTCAGAATTCAGTCACTTTGCCTTCTCATGCTGTGCAACCTTTGTCCATATCCTCCTGTAAATTTTTTACATAGGGTCCACCCCCCTACTGGGACCTTTCTTTATATCTCTTGACATTGTATAGTAACGAGTGAAGCATTCAGGCTGCTGTCCATTGCTTATCCTTCAATATCGTTTGATGATGCCATTGTTTGATGATCTGTCCATCTTCTTTTCTGTCTTATGTCACTTGGTTGACACCATTTATACCACCTTTTCTCCATGGTTCCTCATTGGTAACTGCACCTTTCTTTTCCCTTTGAGTAATGCAAAATTTTAATTTTTCAGAGACTGATGTCTTGAATACCAGCTATATTATCACCAAAAGAATACTGATGTTAAATAAATGTTGCTATTAAAAAGATAAAGATTAGTTTAAAGATAAGGTTGTTCTAGGATCCTTTGGTTATTAACATCAAGCATGGAGATAAGTCAAGCAAGCAACAAACAAGCATTTATAAAATGTCTGCTATGTGCCAGGCACTGTGGTGAGCACAAGGAACATAAATATAAAAATGAAACAATCTCTCTCCTCTAGGGGAAGCAGCATGAGTGGAAAGGGAACTAGATTCTGGGTAAGAAACGTGTGAGTTTGAATCTAATCCCAGACATTTCACTAGTTTGGTGAACAAGCACAAATCACTTTAATCCCTCTGTGCATTAGTTTCCTCAACTATACAATGAGTGAGTTAGACTTGATATTATCCATCTATCCTCTCCAACTCTAAATCTATGATCCTATGTATGCATGTAAGCAAATACAAAGTAATTTCAGCAAAGAGGCATTAGCATTTGGGAGAGAGGAAGAGGTTTCAGGAAGGCCTCCTGAAGAGGAAGGCAGCACAGAGCTGAGCTTTGAAAGAAATTAAAGGCTATGAGAGGCAGAGGTAAAAAGGATGGGCTTTAGGGCTGGGGGAGGGTCAGGCTGGGCAAAGGCATAGAGATGGGATATAGAATGAAAAACTGAAAGTAGGCAAGTTTGGCTAAAATATAAAATACAGGAAGGGGAGTCATGTGTAATAAAACTGGGAAAGTACTCTGGAGTCAGATTCTGAAGTACTTTACATGGCAAACAAGGAAGTTTGTGTTTTATCCTGAAGACAATAAAGAGGCACTGAAGCTTTTTGAGCAGGGAAATGTCATGGTCAAATTTATGTTTTAGATATAACACTTCTGTAGCAATGAGAAACATGAATGGGGAGAGACTAGAGGGAAGGACAGCAATTATGAGGTTACTGCAATAGTCCAGGCAAAAGATAATAAAGGCCTGATCTAGAGTGGTAGCTACATGAGTAGAGAGAAGAAAAGGCATGAAAAAGATGTTTTGAGATAATATCTACAAGACTTAGAAACTAAGTAAATACATGAGAGTGAGGAATAATGATGAGGAGAAGATAATTTTGAGATTGGAAACCTGGATTACTGGAAGAATAGTGGTATCACTGACATAAATATGGAATTTATGAGGAGAGATGGTCATGAGGGGGAAGAAATAATGAGTTGTTTTGGGTACATCAAATACTTTGGAAATGTCCAGTAGGAAGATGGTGATGCGAAACTGGAGCTCAGGAGAAAGCCTCATCAAAGGTGTTTACCACAATGATGAAGAATGCCCAGTTCAGAGGGCAAATGGTTGATGTATTCCTTTTAGATGGTAAGTTTCCTTAAATGCTTATGTTTTAAGAAGACAGTATGCTAACTGTATCAAGAATGGAGCTATGCAAAGCTTCCATAATCATTTCAAAGGTTTTCTGACTAATTATCCATGCAGAGAGAAAAAACCAAGTGGATGAAGAATGTCTACTTCCCAGACTAGTATATGGTTATATGGAACCATAAGCCTGGTCTATCCATACATATATCTTGTTTAAACACTAATGATGAACAGGGAACTGGACCCAATATTGAACAAGAGGAAAAGCAGGATGGATTACATTTAAGAAAATGCATAGAGCTTTTAATCTAATACATGCATAAATAAATTATACCTAGGAAATACTTATACTACTTTAAAATTAAATTAGTTAAATTAATGAATATATATATTCCCCTATCAGGAATTGTGTAGTTTCATATCAATGAGATTGCTTATAGAGCAACCTCAAATTTTCCAAAGAAAAGAACATTTATCAGTCATCTTAAAAGTTATGCAGTTTGTTGGGTTGTTTGTGTGTGTGTGTGTGTGTGTGTGTGTGTGTGTTTATACAGTTCCAAGGAAAGAACACCAGAGGCCTCTCATTCTGGGAATTTTCCTGGCTGCCTAACATGACTTATTAATTAAATTGAAATTGAAAAATTTTAATTAGCTTGAAAAGCATATACATGGAGTTCTGTGGAATTTAGGAGTAGAACAAAATAAAATTATATGCCAAGACCACTGACCTCATATATATAATTTCAGGCAGCAGGCCTTCCAAAATATGTGAAAAAATCATTCATAAACTCTAACCACAATGCAAAATTTTGCCATCAACAAATATTTGTTGAATTGGCAAACAGTTTTTCCTTGAAAAAAATATCAAGACCCAATTAGTGCCAACAACTATTCATTAAGTGCCTGCTATGTAACAGTCACTGTGCTAGGTGCTATAGATACAAAGAGAAAAATCCAAGGGTTCCTACTTCAATAAGTTTACATCCTCTTACTAGAAAACAGCAGGTAAACATACAAATATGTACAAAATAAAGGTAAGATAATTTGGAAGGACAGGTAGTTGGTATCTGAGAGGTGGATATCAGAACCCTCCTACACATCATGTAGGAAGTAATATTTTAATTATGTTTTGAAGAAAGCTAAAGATTCTAAGTCAGAAGGGAGGAAGGGGGGCAGCTAGGTGGTGCAGTAGATGGAGCACTGGCCCTAGAGCCAGGAAGACCTGAGTTCAAATCCTGCCTCAGACATTTGCCACTTACTAGCTGTGTTACCCTGGGTAAGACACTTAACCCCATTGCCTGGCAAAAAAAAAAGGAGGAAGAAGTGAGGAAGAAATACATTCCAGACATGGGAAGAAACTGAAGATAAATGTTTGTTAGGAGGAATCTACAAAAGAAGAGTAGTTTGGTTGGAGCACATAGTGCACAACAGAGTACCATATAATAAGACTGGAAAGGTAAGTTTATGACAAAGGAGTTTTAGAGGTAAAGCAGCTATATGATAAATAAATATGAGATAATTTCATATTTTTATCATTGAAACAGCTTTAAAATTCATGTTAGCAATTAGTATTTTTCATTGCCAGTCGTCTATCATTTACAGTATTTGTGTTCACCAAAAGTTTAATGACATAGTGTCGCATTGTTTCTGTCTTCCTGTCTTCCAATGTCTATAAACAATAAGAGAATAAAGGCAAATCAGGGTTTTTCACGATCAAAAACAATACATAATTCACTGTCAATAACATTTTTGCTTCTACCTTTTCCAGACCTTATATTCTCCTTTTCCCCAGAATCGAGGAACATTTTAATAACTGGTATCTCTGTAAATTCAGTCTACTGTAGAGGTCAAAGTGTTCCCAGGAATCTGTCACCTTCTGATACGTGTGAAGGGTAAAAAAAAAAAATTTTTTTTAAAAAGCCTTTTGTCTTAGCTTTCTCCAAGAAATAAAAGGCAGAATCTTTTACCCTGGGAATTGGTGAAAGCAAATTTTGGACCTGAAAATAATGTTTCCCCTCTTTAGTCTACTGAAGTAGCAGCCCCACCCCCAACCAAGAAACCAAAGATTTTGCTATTTAACTTCCTGAACCAAATTTTACACCCGGATCCCCATATCCTACTAGACACCCCCCCCAAAAAAAACCTGTGGTTTCCCCCTTATATCCCAAAATAACTTCGTGTAATGACTACAGAATCAAATCGTTGCCCCAGTCGCCAATTCCCACTATTCCATTTACAGAAATCGTGGGAGAGCCTGTGTTACTTCCCCCGCGGAGAAACGGAATTTTTGTGTAAATGATGATAAAAATAACTTGGTTTTTGTGCAGATGAGAAGCCAAGCATATGATGAACAATCCCAGCGAGGAAGAACTTTCAGGAGTAAAGGGACGAATTTGTATTTTAGAGAAAAAACAAGAAGTTGACTCGATTTCACCTGAATTTTGCTCAGAGTTACGTGTGTTTGGAAAGGCTGCTGGTGTAGAATTTGAGGCTACAGAGAAAAAAGAAGAGGGACATGAAGCCTGAGACGTCTCCACTTATTTTCCGATTGAAACCGCGTGATTCCATACAGGGAATTTTTATAATTTTCCCCTTTTTTGAAGTGTAACAAACACAACTCCTCTTCAGAGCTGAGACACTGTCCCTGCCAGGGAGGCGAGCTGGGCAGCGCACCAATCACAAAGCAGCTCCTCTCTATATATACCCCCGGCCCTGCGAGCACTGCTATATTGACACTGTGGGTTCTACAGCATTTTTTACTGTAATTATCTAGGTTTGCTACTATGTCTGAGACTGCTCCTGCCGCGCCGGCTACTCCAGCTCCAGCAGAGAAGACACCTGTGAAGAAAAAGGCTAAGAAGCCTACGGGTTCCGCAGGAGCACGGCGAAAGGCGTCTGGGCCCCCGGTGTCTGAGCTGATCACCAAGGCCGTGGCCGCCTCCAATGAGCGCAGCGGCGTGTCTCTGGCCGCCCTCAAGAAGGCGCTGGCGGCCGCCGGCTACGATGTGGAAAAGAACAACAGCCGCATCAAGCTGGGGCTCAAAAGCCTGGTGAACAAAGGCACTCTGGTGCAGACCAAGGGGACCGGCGCCTCAGGCTCCTTCAAGCTCAACAAGAAAACTCCTGCGGGTGAAGGCAAAGGGAAAGCCAAGAAATCGGCCTCTACCAAAGCAAAGAAGTCAGCAGGGGCTGCCAAGAAACCTAAAAAGACCACCGGGGCGGCCACGAAGAAAACCTTGAAAAAGACACCGAAGAAGGCTAAAAAGCCAGCGGCGGCGGCGGGAGCCAAGAAGGCAGCCAAGAGCCCGAAAAAAGCCAAAGCTGCTAAACCCAAGAAGGCGGCTAAGAGCCCTGCAAAGGCTAAAGCCGTGAAGCCCAAGGCAGCGAAGGCAAAGGTGACCAAACCTAAAACAGCTAAGCCCAAGAAGGCGGCGCCAAAGAAGAAGTAGGTCTCCGCGGGAACTTCCAACACCTCAAAGGCTCTTTTCAGAGCCACCCATAGATCTCAATGAAAAGAGCTCAATACGTATGTTTTCGAGGTCCTGCAATGCTTTTAGTTAAGTAATTGCATGAGGGTGGGGGGGTTAACTTTGCCAGATTTGGATGCGATGGGCTGTTCTGCGCCACCCCCCCAGCATGTTTTGAGTTTTTTCTGTACCCCTTTATCCTAGACAAATGTCTTGTACTTGCATGGTCTTGTGGAATAACAGCTGAGTTGTTCCTTCCCTATTTATTTTTTTCGGTAGCACCGGATATCCTGCAGCGCCACAGTGCCTGACCAGTTGTAAAGCCCACGGGCCCCTGGGAGCATTGCCAGACTGACCGGCCTAATGGTCACCTGAGCCAGGGCCCCTTTGTTTTTTAAGTGGCGTATAAAGAAATAAACTTAAACAAATTTGAAAAAATTTTTGTCTCTTTAAATGACAGGTCTTAAAGTTTGCAGAGATCAATAGGTTATAGCACCGATTTTGAAGGGTATTCAGAGACCCCTGGGAGTCCCTGACATCCGTCTCAAGGGCATGTGAGGTTAAAAACTATTCATAGTAACATTGTATTCATTTATAATACGGTGTCAGTAGAGATTACATTTTTTTAAAAGCTATCTGGGGCGTCTGTAAGTGTTGTAAAGGGCCAAAAAGTTTGAGAACCGCTAGGCTAGAGAAACATTCAAAAGTCCCGCGCCTCGAATAAATTGGTTTGTTATTCAACCTCACACAGCATTGAATTCTGGACAATTTGATTGGAAAAAATGAATCCCTACACACTCCCACTTGCTCTTAATGGTTATAAATGTAGTTTCTTTTTCTCCTTGTTCTTAAGCATTCATATTCTGTGTATGTACTGCACACATCTGCAATTGTCTTAGTTTCGGGAAATGGGCTTTCAGCACACTGACTTCAGTCAGTTTATTTTTTACTTTTTAAAAAAGTTCAAGCAGCAAAATGCTTTGTTCCTGAGTTTTGTGCCAAATGTTTTCACTGATACAGAATTTCTTTTCCAAGCAACACAACGAACACAAATCCGTACTGGCACACACAAAATAAGCCTTCTAAGTCACCGTTATGTTCTACTTGCTTTTCCATATAATTTAAAGTTTTATGTCTCTTCGTTTATTTTGTTAAGGTAAATCAGAAAGAAATAATGTTAAAGTCACATATATACATACATATATATCCCTCGAACTTTATATATAACCACCCTTACGAATGCAAATAGCCTGAGACATTTTCAGTTACTTCTTGCTGAACCACCATTCTTCCCCACCCCCATCCCTGACTCCCGCCCAAATTTGACCTTTCTGGAGGATTCTTTTTTAAGTCGGATACTGCAGAATCCAGCATCTAGATGTTTCTGATGGTTGCAACTATTTAAGTTTGGTTTGAAATTTTGGTCACGCAGAAGAGGGGGCCAGAGGAAAGCTTTTTTTGTTTTGTTTTCCTAAAAGTGGCTGATTCCGAAGCTTCTGATTCCAGGTGCTTCAGTGTTTCCCTGTCCCCGATCTAATTTTGTCCCTCACGAGCTTCCGTAACCTTAAGCATTGTATCTACTTGCTCTTTTGGTGCAGCAATATATCCATGTTTTAGAGTAAGACGCAGACCTGGTTCCCTTGCAAAGCTCGTGATTTAACTCACCTCTGTGGCTCATATTTAGTTAGCCATTTTACATGTGCAACTTATCTTGTATGGTCCTTTCCTCACACCTTCCCCCTCCCCATTTCCATTTTGCAGATGAGAACATTAGAGTTCAAAGAGCTTGGGAAAAATTACTTGGGCAGGGTTATATAGCACTTGTGGCTGAGGCAAAAACCTTTGCCTCGTGCTTGATCCTGCATTTTATCCACTGCGCAACGCTATTATGTTGCCTCTGGCGAGTAGTGGTAGGTCAGAGATGATATACGAGTCTCTTAGCTTTGTTGCTGGCCAGTTCCAAGACCAAGTCTTTAGGTTCGACTGTGGGAAGCAGGCTGGGCTCAGGGTTAAACCGACTGCAACATACCCCCGGACGGGCCCTGGGGTGGTACACTGGCAGACAAACCAACGAGTGTCGTCCAAAGAAGGCAGCAAAAAGGGTTACTAGTGTTAAATAACTAACTTGTCAAACTGTTTAGCTATTGGTCAAAAACAGAATTCTGATTGTTTTAGCCAATCAAAAGGTGGATCTAAAAATCTCACTATTTAAATATGATCTTTCCACTTCATTCAAGTTGCTCCAATTAGGGACTGAAGTAGATTTTCTTTATTTGTGTAGAAGCCCTACAAAAATAACCCTGACCTAAAATTTGTGTTCTTTATTTTGCTTTTTTGGAAAATTATTGATTGTACTATTCCAACTCACTCTGAACTCGTCGGAACCCAGCATTCAAGATAACATAGTGATTTAGGTGCAAAGCAATGGTAAGCGCAAGCATGAGCCTAAGAGTTGCTGAAGAACATCCAGCTGGTATCACCTGAAACATTATAATTCATTTCTAATAAAAATTTTCTATTATATCGTAGGGAGTGAACGTCACAACACTTCTCGAGAATCCAAATGGCCCTGTGGCTGTTGCTGTCTGGAGAACAGATCAAGCACATGATGTTTGGAGGGCACCAAGTATGCCAATTCCCCAAAAAGGACCCCAGGGGCCCTACAATCTAAAGGTTTTTTTTTTCCCCAAAATACACTCCCATTCTCAGTTGCTTTAATTATATTGTATAGTTAGTATCAAAATAGTTCCTTTTCAGTTATTTTGTATCGAACTTAGCATAGTCATTGATTCTAACAAAAGCAATTTATAATAATTCATAATTTCTCCCATTTTTTACCCTTCTGGGTCATAAAGCAAATATGGTCACTGCGTAAGAAGAATTGTTCTATAGTATAAAGTACTCCACAGGCAACAGTTTGTATTTAAAGCCTAATCTTCCCCTCTGTTTTTTCTTCACCTAAAACACATGAGATGTATCCCAAGGAATGCTTGTGTCGATGGAAGTATCCAGCAGCAGCATGAACACTGGACTTACAGCCAGAGGACTGAAATTTCAAAACATGTCTCTACCACTGACTCCATGTTACCTTCTGGGCCTCAGTTTCCTCATTTAAGGAAATTGGACTAGATGATCTCTGAAGTCCCTTTCATCTGTAAGTCCTAAGTTGAACTTTTGAGAATCATCCCTGGTTGCAAAATGTTTGATTAGTGCTTCCCTTGCCCATTTTTATTTGTTTGCATCATCTGTTGTCTGAAGGAAAAGCAGAAACCCATGGGGAAAATGAATAAATGCATTTCAAGGTCTGACCCTCTGACTTGGTTTTCTTCTCCAGCATTTTCATTGTACTTTTGGATTTTTTCTCTCCACTCCAATCTACAGTAATTAGATTTTATCTTATGCATTTTTGAGGCACTCTGTCTTTTAACAAATTAAAAACACCAGCTCATATTCATGGTCTTGCTTTGAGAAGTCTGGGGAGAGAGAGAGATAGAGGTTTCAGCATCCAGGAGAGAAATCCCTCAATACTCTCAGCAAATACTAATATGCTTTCTTATTTCTATGCTCATAATACTGCTCCTATCTCCTGTGGTGTCCCCTCAATACATCAAAGACTCATAGAATCATAGAATGTTAGATCTAGAACATCTTTTTCTAATCCCTGCATTTCCCTGATCAGGAATATTAGTTGATTTACCAACAGTCATGCAGCCAGTTAGATGACATGGATTATAGCTCCTACTCTGCCACTGACTCCTGGTAATCTTTCATGTGACACATCTGCAAAAATCCTGTATTTGACTTATATTCTCATAAAGGTAAATTGTGAGGGGAAAGGAAGAATGAAAGAATAAATGAAAAAAGCATTTATTAAGCACTTACTAGTACAAAGAACTGTACTAAATGCTGGGCCTTCAAAGAGAAAAGTAAAACAGTTCCTGCTTTCAAGAAGCTCATATTCTAATGAAGAAAACTACATGTTTATATGTATTATGTGTGTATATATGTATGTGTATATATGTAGTTTCAGCTAAAAGTAAAACAGAAAGGTCTCATGATTTTGAGGGTATATCAGCAAAGCAGAAAATAATTCCTCTACTTTCACATCATTTTCCATGGATAAATTGTCATTTTTCTGATATTGAATTCTTCAATAGTGATAAGATTTGCGGCCGTAAAAACTTTCTTTTCTGGGTCTTTGGTAACTGTATCTGTAGTGGGTTCAGGGTTCTTCCACCTTTAGAATCAATAGCTAAACAAATGTTCTTGCTGCTACTACCAATTGCCAGCAGTAAGAGGAGAGAGAAAACACCTCTAATTACTGGAAGTCTAAGGAAGGGGAAGTACCAGTAAAGTCTCAAAAGATACAGTAAACTATTTTTCCTCTATTACTTCTTCTTGTATGTTGTTGTTGTTCAGTCATTTTCAGTCATGTCTTACTCTTCATGACCCCCATTTGGGGTTTTCTTGGCAAAGATACTGGTGTGGTTTGCCATTTCCTTCTCCAACCCATTTTACAGATAAGCATAGTGAGGCAAACATGGTGAAGTGACTTGCTTAGGATCACACAGCTAGTATGTGTCAAAGGTCAGTTCTGAACTCAGATCTTCCTGATTCCAAGCCCACTGTGTACCACCTAGATCTTGACTCTATGGCAAATAATCTTCAACGTGACCTCTATTACTGGTGACCAAACAGGAGTTTCTACATTATTGCAATAAGCCTTAGGTCCTTCAACAGGAGGCCAAGCCACATATTCAGAAGAGGGACCAGAGTATTGGCCCATTTTCATGTATGAACCATTTTGAGTCCCACATCACCTGAGAAAGGCCTAAAACCTGGATTGGCCAATCAGGAAAAAGACATTTTTGGCCCACTCTGAGCTTAACCTACCATAATGCCTTGCGTGCTCTGGCATAATAGACATGCTTTGCTTTGTTCTCTAAGTGAACCCAAAATGCCCCTTCCTGTGTCAGCAACTACAAGGCTGGATGAAGCTGATCCAGGAGCATTCTCCATTTATGACTGTCCAGGGCAAGACGTGTTGAATCAGACACTATCTTGAATAATGGAACTTTTCTTACCTTGGTATTTTATGGATACATGCTATGCTATATTATGCTATATATATTGTCATGTTAATGATAAAAGAAACACAGACATCCTGGATCCATAACTTCAATGAACACTTTGACACTTCTCTTATCTTATTGTATTTACAATCTATCCTATTAAGAAATTCCTTTCTCATATTATGGTTAACACATATGGAGATTTTAATTTGGGTTGACAGAAGCATCCTGAGTTGGGATTGCTCTAGGTGTATAAAGGGTCTCCTTCAGCTTGTTGACCGTTGAGTTCAGAATTGTTTTCTGACTCCATGCATGCATGATTTTCTGACTTAATGAGAATAAACAAACATGTTATAGCACATGTACAGCCTGATTCTGTTTGTTTCTTGGTCAAAGAATCCCATTCTATTTATTCTTGAACAAACCTTTGGTAAGGGGGAACCCCATTCTGTTTGTTCTTTGGACAAACTTTTGGTTAACAAGGGGACCCCATTCTGTTTGTTCTTAGGATAAACCTTCAGTTGAGGGAGAAATTGATTCTGTTTGTTTCTTTGGACCAAACCTTTGGTAAATGGTTGACACATGAAAGGTATATCAGGGACTTTTCTTTATCACCTTCTCCCTACACAAATCAGAAGATTCATCACATTCTGTTAGAATGTGAAAGGTAAGGTCTCCAGGTGTCTGCTAAACCAGATAGGCAACCTCCTTGTCCTACAATGGGGCAGTCATATATTACTTACTAGGGAGAGCCAGCACAGTTAGGCTCCAGCCTGTATTAAAGAAATCAATAGTCTAGTGTTCCCTACAAAAATCTAGACTGATTTCCAACTATGTATCACAGGCCACAGCTGCAACTTTTATCTTATTGCAACAAAAATTTTAAGTGAAAAAAATAGATGTCAGACACATCATGTTCTCAAAGAATTTCCAATCTAATGAAGTGAAAAGGCATGTAGGTATACTGCTACAGGAAGACAGGAACAATGATACACTGTTAGTAGAGTTGTGAAATAGTCCAAACATTTTGGATAATAATTAGAAACTTTAAGAAAAAAAGTGACTAAACTATTGACACTCTTTGACCCATAGATCCTGCTGGGCTTGTATCTCAAGAAAGTTAAAGATAGAAAGAAAAATCCCATATGTAATAAAATATTTATAGAACTATTACCTGTGTGTGATAGCAAAAACCTGGAAACAAAGTGGGCACCCATTGATTTCTGAATAACTTAGCAAATGTGGTATATAATGAAATGTTGTTCTCTCAAAAGAAAGGACAAGTAGAAGGAATTCACAGATACATTAAGACTTTTATGACACGAAGAGTGACGTAAGCAGAATGTGGAAAATAACATACCCAATGACAAAACAGTGTAAGCAAAAAGACTAATGAAACCAGTGCTGTGTTATTATTATGAAGTAGAAGACTCGCTGGTGAAACGGTATATTCAGAAATAACTATGATATAAAAACTAAAGGTAGCAATAATCTCTCTTTATAAAAAATGTCTAGAAATAACCATGATACTAGAAAGTATGTGAAAATTTCAAAAGAGAAATAAAGACAAAGTGCTAAGAGTCAAATAAATAAAACCAGGGATCTATAGATTTATAGATAAACATAATTTGGAATGCTCCACTCAGTCTCTCTATTATATTTCTGCCTTCATATAGCATAGGACAATGGCCACAACTGAGTCATTTGCTCTCCCAACTTCAAGAAGAGATTTTGCTAGAATTATATTTATCTTTTACAATAAGATATTTGAAGTCTAGGGATACAATGCTCTTTTGGAGTTCAGATTAAAAGCCACTTTCCCTTGGTTACTCCAGATTATTTATACCAAATGTGAATGCGTCTTCTGAAGAAGAAAGAGGAGAGGCATCAAGAATACCTCACAAAATAATTATTATTTGAGATCACCTTTAAAGGAAAGGTAGGAATTCAGTAAGCAAAGAGAGGTAAGGGCATTCATTTCTACTTATCTCTAGAAATTTACTTTATAATATCATTTTGAAAATCTTGCTTCCTTTCTTCTAGTAATTCTAGTTGACCTTTTGGCTAAGCGGAGTTTTTGTCTGATGATGTAGATGCTGTAGTGTTATTCTCTTCTTCTAGGTTCATGTCTTGGGCATCCCTGAATGGACAATATTTCTTTACCATCTGTCTTCTTTTGTTTACTCATTTTTCCAACCTTGGGACGGTGTGTTAAGTCCAGGCTCTGTCTATTTCTGGAAGGAATTTTGTTGCCTTGTGTAGTACTGATCTGTATTATTTTAAATCTTGCAACTGCTTCCTTTGTTTGTTTTGTTGTTTTGTTTTTTGCAAGGCAATTGGGGTTAAGTGACTTGCCCAGAGTCACATAGCTAATAAGTGTTATGTGTCTGAGTCCTCATTTGAACTCAGGTCCTCCAGACCCCAGGGCTGGTGCTCTATCCACTGCGCCACCTAGCTGCCCCCAACTGCTTCCTTTGAATAAAGAGTGTGGTAATCATCAAGAATTTCAGAGGTAACTTAGGCTAGTGAGCTGCAAACTTTCTGTACCATAAATTCTCTTATTGCTGCCCTTCTGGTCTGAGCTTTGCAGATTTCTGACCTTGTTTAGGGGTCTAGGAGACACTGCTAAATGTTTTTCATTACTGATGTGAGCTCCAAGAGACAGCTACTGACCCCAGCCCAAGTCAGTGTTCTAGAAGGCCCATAGGATTAGAGAGTGAGAATTACAGGCTTGCCCCAGTTCATGCTCCTTGGGTACACAACTTCAGCCACCACACTTCCACCTTGGTACATGCATGGGATCAGAAAGACATAGCTACAAGCTTGCCAAGTACAGTGTCTGTACTCTCTGCCCTAAGTACACAGCCTCTGGCCCCAGTCCCAGTATGCTCATGATGGGCCTTTTCCATTAGACCACACTCCCCAGTTACTATAGTACTCTGACTATCTCCCTGTGCCAATAAGGGCTAGAAACAGGCATCCACTACAGTTTTTCATTGGATTATTTACTGTATCATCACTAAGTCTGGTGCTCTTCCCCAATCTTTGCTGCAGTAGTAGATCTAGATTATATTACTTCTTCTCACTCTACCATCTTGGTGGTTCTACCTAGAACCTTTTTCTGATGAGATATTTGTTTCCCTAGTCATAGGCCAGCAACCAGTGGACTTTAGGAATGGGCTTTTCAAGTCTTGGTAGTAACGTTGTGAGTGGAAAGTTCCAGAGTTGG